TTACTTTCTCTTCTTTGCGTGGTTTTGTCTTTAGTTATTTCTCGGTTTCTTTTGCGTATGCCCTCGAGAAGCCGCCGTAGCAAATCGATTTCAAGCTCCAGAGAACATTCTTCTTTGAAGCCAGACGAAGCCCGAGTAAGGCAAGCCGCCGGAATAATGCACATTGGTGAAACAACCATGGAAGAAGTCGCCGAACCCGAAGATGTTTTCCCAGGGCCAGCCGACCGAGAATCCTGCTGTTGCAGCCGGCGTCGTGTATCTGCCCGTCGCACCTCGCACGCCGACAGCATACAACGGCGAAGCTTACGAAGACGTCGACGACTAGACGCAGCGTAGGAGCGTGTTGCCCGTCAAAATAGGTGAACACCGGAGCGATTCCTCCAGAAAGTCTGCTTCCCCCTCCAGGGAACGGCAAGAAACTTTTATGAAAAACCACGAGGCGATGATAACCACCTGGGAAGCATGCAAGGAAGTGCTCCGCCAAACGTTTGCGACCCAGCAGCGACGAGAACGAGCTGAGGAGCTGCTTCAGGCAAAAGCTCAAGGCCCCAACGAGAGCATTGTAAACTTTATGGAAGACGTACTTGAACTCAGCAGCCGAGATCATCCCGAAGCTCCTAAAGCAAAGGAACTGAGGACCCTCATGCGGAGGCTCAACGAAAGCATCTGTGGGTGTCTTGCGCGCAGCCCGCCTTCGACCGTCGTACAATTCGTGACAGAGGCCACGAGTATCGAGCGTACCCTCCAGACACAAGCCTTGCACTACCACCGATTATCCGGCGCCGCTCTATCCTCGTAGTCAAGCTACAACGTTGGTTCCAGTTCATCAGACCTGAGCCAGATCAGCCGCGACGTCGTCCAGGAGGAGATCCAAAAGATGCTTCTCGCTGCTGAACTCCCGGCCTCGCTTTCAGTCGCCGAGATCGTACGCGACGAGGTCTAGCGGGCCATGCAACCGGAAGCTTTCATCAACGTGGACGCCCCGGAGGAGCCGACTTCGACCCACGACGTCATGACCTAACGACCGCCACCAGTCGCACGCCTGTAACCCGCACATCTGCCAGAAAGGTATCGGATGAAGGCGACAAGACGATGAATAATCAGCTGAAAATAAAGATTTTATCCGTGAACTTGTGCAAGAAAGGAAAAGAAGAACTAAGTTCGAGACAGCAGCAGCGAGCGTCGAGGGCGGCGGCAGCGAGGGTCGTGTGCGGCGGCAGCGAGAGTCGAGTGCGGCGGCAGCGAGTGGCGGTGCGTGCAGCGTGACAACTGGCGAGCGCGAGAGTGAATGTGCCTCGCCGTCTAGAAAATCAGAGTGAGTCGGAAAAGCCCCGATCGGGTCGTTATTTATTACACTCTGTATTACGAATATTCTGCTAAGAATGCTCTGGAGTGTGCTATGGCGAGGCGAACTCGGCAAGGTCCTTCTCGCCTTTATATCTTACACACGAGGTAAGAAAAACGCTGTACACGTTCCTAAAGAAAAAAACAAAAAAAAAACACGAAAACTTTTTTTTTTTTTTGGAACGCGTTCCGGTTACAAGTTTCATTTGTTAAAAGAAAACGTGTTTCCGTTACAGTTAAAAACATGGAAGGCATCGTTACATATACGTTACATTTGTATTTTGCTAATTGCAATAGTCATTTAGAAAAAAAAATTATCTATCCCATCAGATGGCAACATACGAATGTTAGTGATTGCGTGCGAGTGGTCTGTCACAATGCGTTAACGGTAAAGCAATGCTTGCAAAACGTCTACTTCTCCCCCGAAGGAACGACACGTACCTGGTATCAAAACAACAAGGCGCCGATCACCACCTGGAAAACATCCAAGGACGTAGGCTGCAGCTCTTTGTCTTAATAGTTTAGATAATTCAGACTGGCTTATGTGTTTCTGTGTTTATGTGTGCACGCTTAAAATACCGAGGGTTTTTTACCACAACTTACTTTGCAAGCAACAAATTCTGGAACTTCACTCGTTGAAGAGACACTAAATCCAACGCTTGAATTTGGCCTGAATTTTTTCACGATATGATTGTTGTGGCAAATAATTTGAATGCCGGAATTAATTACCCACGCAACGTCTTGATAATGCACGTACCGATATGTTGTATTGCGCAACAAATTGACGAAAAACAACGAAGTTTTTTCCGGAATTCATTGGTATTTCATTGAACCGTTCTTGTATGAATGTAAATGTCCGTCAGCGGAATATTCTTCATTTGTAGCTGCACGTTTTATGGTGAATAATGCTGTTACTTTCGGTAGTCTCGTGGCTGATGGTACAGCGACTATAATTGCCCTGAGTAACACAACAACATGGACACGAGTTGATGCTCACGTTATGTGAAATTGTGTCTTGAAATATTGTACATGGCGCGTGTTTTTGCGCATATCATGCCTTCGTTTTCTATATGTTTGTACCGGTGAGTTGTTCTCTCCTCTGACTCCCATAGTGATATGATCAGAAATTGTCGAGTTATAGTGTGATGCTGAGTTGAACTTGCTCTGGGCATTTTGTTGCTGCTGGTTTAGCACGTCAGAGTACGAAGGCTGGTGTGGCTGTTGACAGATCTGGTGACGCTGGGTTGGTCGGTCTGGGCGAGGATGAAGTGGAAAACCCGAAAAGGAGCCAGAGGAAGGATTGGGTTGGAAGGGGGGGGGGGGGGGGGCGAATGAGCCTCAGTCTTGGGAAAGGAGAACGGTTGCCATTTATTGGTCCATTCAGAATCTCGTATATCTGGCAACTGCTACTGCTTTAAAACGAGAACAGCCTGAGAGCAAAGCACAGTCATTAGGCTTCAATCGGCACACTTTGGGTTAGTTTTGTTCATGTACTCCTTGTAGCTCTGTGGTCCTCCGCAAATTTTGCATCTCTGTTGACCGTGATAATGTCTCGCAATGTGTCCGTGTCGTTGGCATTGAAAGCATTAGGCGGGGATCCAAAGTATTCCATTACGGGGTGGCTGGTGAATCCTAACAAAACTTTTGACGGCATTAGCTGATCTTCTGGCCTGTCATCTGAATATTAACGAAACCTATTGGAAACTCAATATAAGTAATCTCAGCAAACTTTGCAAAAAACAAATTCATTTTCAGGCAAAAGTAGGATGGTTTTGTTTTATTTTTTATGTGGGCACTCTAATAAATATTCAAATTAATTAAATTATTAGCCGTTATCACTTCAAAAAAATCACACATGTCATTCTTTAATTTACTGTACTGTTCCTATAGTTTTGTAGTTTTCAATCAATTCAGCGTGTTTAAAAGAGGTCTGGTTAAAGCGTCAAGTATTGTTCAGGCACCTTTATACAGCGCTATAATCCTGAGAATGACTCAGGGGTTAGCTAGATATTTATTAGATGTTTGCATTCGTGCTAGCTTTAATATCTTGATAGAAATGAGGCTAGGCAACGTCAAAACTGGAACTATGCAAGGCTCCCCAGGCTATACACCTTTTACACAAGGGCGCAGCCATCTTGAATGTCGTCACTTCTGGTATGCGCTAACACATCGTTTTAATCTCTCCACGCCGTTGGAATGTGATCGCAAAAAATGTGTGACTGCCGCACATTCTTGTTTTGCCTCAAGTGTAGTTTCTTGCATATTCCTTATTGAAATATTTGATTATTTTTGGCCGACATACCAGATACCGAACCCACGTGACTGAGAACGAAAGAAAACAAAACCTTCTATATCAGAAGAGTCATGTCATTAATCCTGGCCAGACTATAGAGGATGTGAAGAAGAGTTGCATATCTTCTTCGAGTGCCTCTAATGCAAACTCCATTTCAGCTTCAACGCGATCGTCAAAACCTGTTACCAAAGTGCCTTATTTGTCGCAAAGCAGCAAGTTGCATGAATCAAGCTTTAGACTGGCATCGATCGAAGACCTCCAAAAGCACGCCGTAGATGGCGTTATTTGAATATTTATAAATGCATCTGCTTTTTTTTTCTTAAAACATAAATCACAAAGTCATTTCTTTCATATCAAGTAGTGGTCTAGGTAAACGCCAATCTTGGCATAAGCTTGGCAAACCTAAGGCCCCAACTGGGCCTAATACGGCTTTGATCTGAGGCGTTAGATAGTGACAGATTTATTTCCTTTGGAGTTTCGCCTTTTCACTGGCTCGCCGCATAATTGTCAAAAAGCCACATTCGAGTAAAAGATGCCGTTAGAATCCGAGGAACCAGCAGTGAAGCCTAACTCCTGCACATGTTTAGCGATTGAGACGCAAAGTTTCCACATGAAAACCGAACAACCAGAAGTGGAGACCAATCCTTGTACTCGTTTAGCGATTTAGGCCTCAAGTTTCCAGATGACAGCCACACTATCAACGGTGAAGCCTAGCGTTGGCACTTGTTCGGTGGATTAGTGCCAAAGAAGGCCAAGTTTACCTCTGCCTTGGTTTCTTTTAACTTTTTAATTCCCTGAATTTCCAGACAGAAACTGAATTGTGACCCAAAGTGGTATCTGGGATATGTTTAAAAGTTTCCTGGATATTTCCCCTTTTCTTGAAGTTGATTTTTTTGTATCTGAAAAAAATACAAAAAAATAACTATATCTCGATACAAAGGTTAAGTAAGATGTGCTGGGAGATTCATGTACTATCAGCGGCAATATGAGCTGGTCCAGTCTAGTGCTAGACAAATAGAACAAAATACCGCACAGAACGTCTCCTGTAAGCTAAGCTATAGAAACTGACTGCCACAAAGCGATGTTAGAAAATGTGGCAGTTTATTATCTTTCTTATCCTGGAAGTTCCTGTGCGTCCCGCATGGCTTTTGTCCCGCCCCAGCCCGAACGCCACTGGGCCAGCTCGAATTGTCAGACCCTTTACCCTAGGACTAAATGTTTCTTGATAGACATATATGTATTTAAAATCCCCTTTGAACTCCTGACCTAGTGAATAACATTCCTGGCGGTCGCTAACAAACTGTTGTTCTAGAAAACCCTTCTAGCAACCAAGGTCAGAATTTGGAGCGTCTGGTCATTTCAGGCGACCGACTCGGGGGCACCACCTGTGTTCTACTTGGTGCCCGTGAGTCTCGCAGCCTCAGTGAACATCATCATGCCAATCTCACTGCCGCTGATTATCATACGGGAGTACCTGGACATCCCCTGCCTGCAGATGGTGAGAGCAATGCGCCCACTTGTTGCCAAACATTGCGTGGTCTGAATTTTTAAAAAAGCCACGCTTATATAAATCCTTCAAATTCGTTCAGCATTTTTCTCGTTCAATTCAAAATTCAACCCCTTTATACGCTGGTAAAATGACACGTTACCATTTAATTCAAAGTCACGCTGGAGTTATTAAAACATATTGTTGTGCTAGCTAGGATGATTCTTTCGATGTTGAGAAGTTGGGTGTGTTCAAAATGTGGACACAAATAGGTAGAGAAAGACGCAGGTTAACATCTACCTCTTTTCCATTACTCGCCAAGTGATTCTACAATAAGCAGCGATCTGCACCAAAGCTCTTCATGATTTGTTGAGGTGCATATTCAGGCAGCTGAAAAATGGTAAATGATTTCCCTTTATAAACATGTCCTGCTAAAGCAAGTGTTAAAATCGCAGACTCATGTGTGTGCATTTAGAGAATTGCGTCTAGGCCATCACTTTCTTTCTGCTTACTGACCGTCGTGCCACGTCAGTGCCCGCACAATTTTGTATGCTACGGGAAGTTACCATAAGGGCTATATGTATAAGTCTAGACTCTGCATTTCTTTGGAACCCTGCGAAATTCATATTGGACGCATAAATGCGTCCGTAGTAATACGATAACACCATCGACAGGTATCATTCGTGAACATCAGTCTAGAAATTCCCTTCTATATCTCATAAAAAAAACAAGGAATCCATTCATGCAAATAATTTTTCTTAGCTCCTGTTTTCCCTTTTCTTAGTTCAAACTTGCAATGACCCAGAACTACGTTTAAAAAAAATATATAACATTTTTTTATAAAGAAAGCTTTTTTAAAGCATGGAATGCTTTTTAACGAACCCCCTAATACCAAAATTGTGTCCGTCCGTCTGTTTTTCCGTGCACTTCCCCCTAAAGTTGAATAGGAAATTCTTGCCACGTAACGGGAGGGTAACACGTCACACTATGACTTGTCACCTTGACGTCAAATCACATGACCACGTCGCGCGACGTCAACTTATATGACGATAATATCACGTGACATCATGACTTGAAACTTTGACGCAAATTTCCCCGTTAAATTTAGCAGGAAAATTGACAGGATGTGGCCGGACGTCACTTGACGTCAGGTCACGTGTCACCATTACCTCGCGGTGTCAAGTCCTGGAATCCCAAGATATTATCACGGCTAGTCACGTGACCTCAAAGTTTCCTATTAAATTAGGCGGAAAAATTAATAAAGAACATGTTATTCACTCTCCAAAACAATTGATATCTTCTAAAAAGAAATGGTACAATCGAACTTCAATACTCCATTCCACGCAATACTTCAGAGATCGAGGTTGCTGAGACTTTGTTTTTGTGACTTTTAATGTGCTGCGTCTTATTTTATAGAGAGAAGTTGTATCCCAAATATTTTCATAATGTGAACGACGTGTCTAGCCAAAACTTCGAAAAATATTACAGGATGCTGCAATCGGTAATTGGTTCCTTGGATGTACCTAAAGCACATTTGGCCATTTAGACCGTGGTGTAGACTTTAGTATATATACAATATTTTCTTAAAATCGACACTGAAATAAAAAGATATCATTTTAAAGTCCTTAGGTGGGACACGCACTCTTTAAAAAACTGTTTCCAAAAAAAAGAGTATTTGCGCAGTTTTTTAGGCGCCACGCGCTATTTATGTAGGGGCTTTTCGCACGCCCATCAGTAAAAGAAGCGTAGCGAGCTACTCTCCCTTTTACCGCTCCCATTGGTTGGCGAGATGATTGACACCTGGAGTGTTCACTGTAAAATTGTTTTTCCGCGCCGCGGTAGTCTTTTATTCGATATTGTTGTAAAAATTATATTTTCCCATTCGATTTTTAACAATAACGAAGACGGCTGCCGGCGTCTGGGACGAGCAGTTTCTTAGACATCGTGACTCGTTGAGCTCGTCAATATTTATCAGTGCGAGTTTATTTTGCGTTCTCTAAGATGTTTAGAAGAGGATCTCAGCTACCCGACGTAGTCGGGAGTAAACGACTGTTGAGAGCACACGCCTATGAAAGCGCTGTGTGGGTGGTTGTGTTCATAGTTGGACTGGGGTAAACCTAGCGTCCCACGTCAGCTACATTGCTTGATCTGACTTGATTTGTTCATGTGCGCGTATTTGTTGCTGAATGAATGTGTCGGTTGCTGTAAAAGCGACCCGCTACTTTGAGAAGCGTTCAGCCGTCGTTATCTCCACCGTGGTATGAGTCCTGGGATGTAACCTACACAGACAAGAATTTGCGGGCCATTTGATTGAAAGAAATCGGAAGTTTGCCACGCATTGGGCTTGTACAGGTATGCTTCCGTCATTTTGCTTTGAAAGGCCTGTATTCCGTAAATTTAGAGCAGTGCACCAGGATCGCTAGAGCAAATATTTTTATGTCGCGTTTTAATTGTGCATTAGTACCCTTTCCTCCCTGCTCAAGGACGTTATGTAAGAAAACGACAACAATATAAAAGCTGTAATCACTGCATATTTATTTTGTTGACATTTTTCAGTTCTTGCGGGTCGCCTCTTATCGTTCACATCGACGCTGACATACTCATGTAATGGACCGTGGCTGGTGCATGATGGAACGCTAGAGCGCCGTTTTCTTGTCGCATCTTGCGAATGTTGCAAACCATTTTAAACGGGGGAGCAATAACAGACGGACGCAAACGATAGCGAACGCTCACGCGGAGCTTTCATAGCCGTGTCTTACGGGCGTTCCAGGTGGGAGTAAGTAGAGAGGGTTCTAGTATAGCAGATGACGACGTCGTACGCTGCCTCTCGTTTGCCCGCAAGAATAGAACACTGTTTCAGAAGGCAGACTAGACGCACCGAATGTCACGACAGGAAGGCATTAGGCTCGTGAATATTAATGCTTAAAACCAAACTTGTGCTCGTTACTTAAAAAATGAAAAAAGATTAGTTACAAATTACGAGCCTCAAATGTAATGAATTACCGTTACAAATTACTTCCGCTGAAAAGTAACGTATTACTTTACTAGTTACGTTACAAATTACTTTCACGTTACGTTTTCCATACACTTATCCAGAAAACAAGAGAAACAATCTCGATATTTTTCAAAAATGTTCTGCAACACTACTTTTCACTTCTCATACGACCGTACTATCTACCATAGTACGGGCGTATGTAAAATTGTAAAAATCTAAAAATGAAATAAGAAATAAAAAAGTTGTATTTAAGAGAAAGAGAGTAGGAGCACTCCGTTCACCTGTAAGCTGACACAACACCGAAAGCTGGAACCACGCCCGCTATCCCGCTAGCTTACAGCCTCCGGAAAGGATTCCTGGAATTGGAATTGTGCACACAAAGCTAGCGGTGCGCATGCTCAGTAGCAGTGTCTACCTCCGTTACGAGATATGGAGCTAAAGAAGCGGTCCACGAAGAAGCTCCCATTGGACTCGGGTGTTTCGCCTATTGTTCACAAGAAAAGAAAAACTTGGTTCTAACGTTACAATGTATATCCAATGCAGAATGCAGGTGTCCCAGCTTACCTTCATGTGTTTCCGTAGATTAGAGTTTGTTGTTCTTGCTGATGACAATATGTGTTTTTTCGGCAAGCAAAGTGTGCACTGAAACTCTAGGTTTCCGTTCTCCTTAATGTCCTGAATTTTGAACATCTTATTAAGGGAGGGTCGTGGAGACGACGGACACTCCATGACCGAAAATTCTACCAGTCAAAGAAAAAGTGGCGGTTACGGGTTATCGATCGTTCATCGGTTCTCAATTTCAGACCAATATTTGTGAAGGCCAGGGGAGAGGAGGGTGTAGAGAGCGGAAGAAGCCGCGGCCATCGGTCTTTCAAAAGAGTAGAGGATCACACCACTTTTACGCCTTCTCTCTCTCCCTCTTTCACCACTCTTTAGACGGCCTACCCCCCCCCCCCCCCCGCCTCCCGCAAAGAGAAGAGTGGACTTGACCGCTATGCCCAGACAAGTAAACCAAAAGAAGTATCGTCCGTACCCTCGAAGACGATGCTCTTAACCTCGCGCCGGGCGCTATTCAGCTGTGCCTCAAGAGCTTGCTAGAATACAGTAGCGCACATCAAAGACAAAGAGAATTCTACTCTTTCGCGCTAGGCTACATCGTCTGTTACGCGAGTTGTGAACCGGCGAATCGAGGGGGTACGGACCCGCGTTTGATGTCTGTGCAGGGGGCGGAAGACGTTGAAGAAGTTGGAAAGGGTCAAACGATGTAAAAGACAAAAACAGATAATCACTAAGAGCTTTTTCCTGCCCGAGAGAAGAAATGCACAATGGAAGGTGACTGAGAGCCTACCTGGTGTTGTCTTACTTGATCTTTGTCTTTCGTATATTTGTACATGCCTTGCCCGTTTTTCTAATGTTTCTAGTGACCTGTCATACAAAAAATTGTGGTTCCTTTCTGCTATTCTCCCCTTCCTGATGTTTTCTAATTTGTTGAACCTACTTTCTTTATACTGCTGAATATTCTGCTTGTATTGCTCCAGTTACTGTATTATGCTCATATTTTTAAGACGTAACGAGTAATTGACGTAATACGTCGCCAATATTTTGTAACGAAATTACATTATAAATTACTTCCGAAAGCAAGTAGCGTGGTAATTACAAAATTACTTGCAAAAGTAACGCGTTACAAGTAACCCGTTACTCGTAACGGATTACTTCCCAGGTCTGTTTAATACCGTTTCATTGAATAGGCGAGCTGGCTAATCCAGACCGTCTCCGGATGAATAAGCAAAAGGCGAAACGCTACTGCGATGCAGACTTGTACACGTTACTGAAAAAAGTAACCAATTACAATTACTATCACTTCACTCTAAAAAGTAACCGCTTACAATTACAATTACAGCCTCAAAAAAGTAATCGAAAAATTACTCTAAAGTAATCGATTACTTCCCACGTTACTTTTCATTGAAGTTGTTTTTTTTATTATTACGGTGGCATAATCTTAAAAATCGCGTGCTCAGTTGTTTAAAAAAAAAACAAAAAAACCTTGACCATTTTTGTTAAGAGCTGAGTGAGCAACGCCAACACACCTTTCGTGAAAAAAAAATGAAAAAAAGAGCGCTGTTTCAGTACATTACTCGCAAGAGGCTGGATAAGGTCAATTTACATACCCCGACGTAGTCTCTGGTGTACCAAAAAAAAAATGTACCTACGAAACGAAGGTTAGTGAGGTAACCTACTGATCGTCGAGCCCGTGCTCACTGGTTTCGAAAAGGAAAAACAATTCACCGTTGCCCATAGCTGAAAGATTCCAGCACATCTAACCCCTCACCCCCCCCCCCCCCCCCCCAAAAAAAAGAAAAAAGAAATTGAGAAATTTTGTAATTGGTAATTTTGTAATCGATTTCAGCAAAAACGTAATTCAATTACAAGGATCGTTACTCCTCAAAGAAAGTAATTGAAGCGTTACAAAACTACAGTAAAATGGAATCAATTACAAGTAATCCATTACTTGTAACGCGTTACGTACAAGTCTGCTGCGATGTCAGTATGCTCTGGAAGAAGTCGATTGTGCACGTGCAAATCTGACGCTATTACTAAAACTAATAAAAGCGGAGTTACAAAAAAAAAGCACCCTTTGTACAGTCGTGCATTTCCTTCCATTTTTCAAAGTCTATAGTACTTTCTTTTTATGTTTGACGTGACGCTACGCCGCCGCGATCTTTCTTCCTCCTGCGTTTATGTTTTTTGTTTGCTTCTTTCTTTCTTGTGCTTACTTGACGTTCGAACCATCGCGTATTTTGCTTTGTCTTGTTTGGCTTAGTTTTTACTTCCTTTCCTTCGCTTCGTCGCTTACTACCACCGGTTCCTCTCCTACGCTATGCCCGGACATTTGGAGGGCCGTCTGCAACTTTGTTTTTTTTTGTTTTGTTTTGTTTTTCACTGTCATCTGTGATAACTTCCTATGTTCGCTCTCGATTGTGTTTCTGGTCCAAATCTTTATATGTGCTTTGCGACACTTAATAAATATATTAAAAAGTGTAACCTCGTCATAGATTTCTATTCGGATTTTATTTGAGTACGCGGTCACGTCTGCTATGGGTCATCGTTGGTTGATCAACCGGGCATAGACCAACGCATACTTGGAGGGGCATAGTACGGTTGATCGAATGCCATTTCAATAAAGTACGTTTTAGAAAATGGGCACGATTTATCGAAGCACTGTTTAGAGTTCAGCTGAAAACGCACTTGAGGCCGCTGATCGGCACTCATAGTAAAGGCACGGTGTGCAAAGATTTCCTGGACGTGCACGTCAACACGTACGTGAGTGGACTTTTGAACTGCTTCGCCAAGCGAGCAAACAAACAACCTGTCAAAGTCACTGGCAAAAAAACGCGAAATAAAAAAAGGTCACACACTGCTAGCACGACGCAGATTGCAGCGTGTGACTCTTATTTACCAGGTAGTGCGAGCTGGACTACGTTATTCCTTTCCTCTATTTTGTTATTAGTTCGTGCTAACGCAGCGAAAGCAAATAAACAAACGTATAACGTGCACCTAAAAAAAAAAGTGGAGCGGTTTTTTTTTGTTTTTTTTTAATAGTTTTGTCGTGTTGCTTCCGCTTTGTTTATAGTGGACTCAACACCAACGGCGAGCACCGCCTACTAATTTTCGATGCTCCAACCGACGCCCCGTACGATCGCCGTCGTTGAAGGATGTCTTTGCTGGGTGATCTGTATCTTTGTATCGTCTGCTAACTTCCTTGTTTCATTCGCCGTTGTTCGCGACTGTTCCCCATTTCTTTTTATTTTCGTCTGGGATCGGGACCCCATCTCTTCTGCAAAGTTCGGAAAGTGTTTGCAGGGCCCTTTTTCTTGTTACTTTTGGTTTTTGTAAAGGTGCAGAGCGTGGTGCACTTGATCTGGTAAATTTAACATGTTCGCGCACATTTTATAAACACCTATTCAGGTAAGAAATTGTGACAACGCAGTTTGTAACGGATAAACAGTAATATCTTACGACGTAGTTCGAGTAGCTAAACGCCTTTTTTCCGCTTCCCAGATGCGCTTCAAACGCGTGTGATTTCCCTGAATGGCGTAGGAGACCTCTAAAGAGACTGCTTTACATTTGTTTGTGCCCGCTTTGTTATTTGATTGTCGTAGCAGTTACGATCAGTGGATTCCGCTTTGGAAGCGGACTGACCGAAATGAATTGTTTCTGCTGTTGGGGTGACAACGCTCGAGGACGTCGCGGAGCCTATGCGGAGGGCAAGTTCGTCTGCTTCTTGGGCAGGAGGTAGCGGTGACGTCAGAACGCCGAGCCCTGATTGGCTGATCGTGACCCCCTATTTGAGCGTCGTCTGCTCCTTTGCAAGGTCGTCTGCTCGAAACGTTGTCTGCGTCTGTCTTACCTATCTTGCGACTTTCAAAAGTGCAAAGGCCAGATTCACGAAGCGATCTTACGCCAAAAATGTGCGTAAGACAAAACGTGAGAACAAATTCGTATTCACGAAACGAAATTATCGTACGTTTTGCGCAGGTTACGACGGAATCCTACGACAGCTCCGAAGCTGTCTTACGCACTCCTTACGATCAAATCAGCATGGCCGACAGCGTCGCTCAGTTACTTGGTCGCGACGACCAACAGACGTTTATTTTTGTACGCGCTCTTCTCACGCGTCCCGACTACAAGCAGCAAAAAGAAAGTAAAAAGTACTTGAAAAAAACCGCGACGAACAAGAACGCTAGATCCACAAACACCCGGGAAATGCTCCAAGGGCCACGATTCCACTGACCCCGACCAAGCGAGCTCGGCAGATAGGCCTAGCAGGCACTCCGACTCGGCGCAGCGGTGCTGCAACAGTCCTTGGCCAAGACCGTCTGCCCACGACCGGCTGGCGTACTGAATGGAATATGCCCGCGTGACCCTTGTGAATCCTTCCCGTATTATACTTTGATTACTAACCTCAATTTTAGATTAAGAGGTCAATCTCTTCCTCTTGTCACCTCCTTGTTTTCAGAGGCAGCGGTGACTCTCGCCGGTAAAAAAGCGGTGAATCTCTGACAGACGCAGGAAAGGTAAAGCGGCCATCGCTTTGACTAGCAGGCGTAAAGCAGACGACGTTAAAGATTGAGGAGTCTCGCCGCACACGAAGGGAGGGAAAAAGTATTTGGGAGGGAACTTGCGGACACTAACACGCTCCACTCTCGGTTCTTAGCAAACAAACCTCGGCGCCTCGGGACACCTCGCCAGTGAGTCCGACTTCTCTCCTGGATGCGCGTCTGCTAGTTGTGTGTGCTAGTTGCACAAAAATAACGTACCGCTCGAGTTATTTTGTCAGCCCTCTCTGAAAGGCGAAGTCCAGCTCGCTCGTAAAGACCTGCACTTCCGAAAGTCGCAGGTAAGGTAAGACAGAAGCAGACGATGCTGCGAGCAGACGACGTTGCAAAGGAGCTGATGATGCTCAGATAGGGGGTTCGGGTCGCGATCACCCAATCAGGGCTCGGCGTTCTGCCGTCACCGCTACTTCCTTTCTCATGCGCAAAAGAAGGAAATGAGCCCACTTGCGAGGCGTATACTTTTCGATTGCGTCGTCGGCTTCCGTAGACTCCGTGTCCGCTAGAGGTGCCACTGTCACGTTCGCCGCCGCTCTCATAGGTTTTCGGAGGAATTTCCAGTATTGGCGAAGCTATATCGTATTTGGTGGCTCGGAATCTCGGTAGGACAGAGTACGTCGGCAATGGTCTCTTGGATAATCTGCGAGTTCCAAAAAATGTTTTATTATCTTTTTCTTTTTTTTCAGTTCGCTTATGGTGCCGGGCTCAAATTCATCGTCCTGGCGGTAACCTTTGCGTCGATGAACACTTTGGGCACCCTCGTCTTCGCTGGGAACCAAGTGCACAAAAGCTCGGCAGCTGCTCATTTTCATCACTTAACGGGCATGTCTAATTTTACGAATTAGTGTGTTCCCAGAGTATATTTTTACCACGATTTGAAATGATGCAATCAACCCTAGCACACCACGGACTTTATTAAACAACCTGGTTTTGTTTATTTATATATTGGTTAAATGATCCTAAGGTGTTCTGATCCGAGAAGGATATTTGAATAAAATACTGATTTGCACGCTGCAGTTTATGCTACAGAGGTGATGGTACCCGGTGTTTATTGCATGCAAAAACCAGGGTTTCACTAAGTAGTGTGACGATCGTGCTTGCCACCATATAACTGAGGCTTAAGAAAACACGCTGGTTAATTCAGACATCTATTCTAAGAACCACCACCTATCAACAGTTTCTACATGTGACTATTGACTTTCCAAGATCGCGCATTATTTAAATTTATATAATAAAGAACTTATACAAAAAGCTTTATAAGTGTTTGGATCGAAGTTTCTTTGTATTTTTTTGCATCCTCTCTCCCAGGGCCAACATTGGTCCTTGTAGTTTTTCCCACACGCTTCAAAGCCGAACGAAGGAACCTGTCGTCCAACTCTGAACCTTTAGCAACTCGACTTGAAAATAGCTCCATACCTTGAACTTGAACCGCACAGATATTGTACAATATTGAGCGCTATAAAAAATTAGGAACGTTTTAGCATCTCCTGGCTCTGTTACACACGCGCATTATTGGCATCAAATCACTGGAGCATCGCATGAAGTGGAGCCATCAGGGGTCTCTAGACCCCGGCCCGCAGGCCCGATCCAACATGCAGAGGTCTTGCGCTCGGCCCGCTGCGGATAGCGCTCTATCCAATAACACCCAGCCCGCGGCCCGCTTCCAGCAGACCCAAGCTATTGGCTCAAAAAGAGGGGCGCGCGAAGGAACAGCGTCGCGACACGATTTAAATACGCTAGCTAAGGTATAATAAAGAACGACAGAAACATCGTAACACGGGTCGGGTCGTCTCGGTATATTATTTATTCAACATTGTCATTACTAGCATTACCATTGTTATTCCCCTGATTCGTGTTTGCGTAACTATGTAAAAATTTCATGGTGTTCTCATGTAATTTGCACTTTGTGTCCTCTGTCACAACTATTGTGTATTGTCAGCATTAGTTTTATCATTCTAATTCGTGGTTTGCTCTGTTGAAACATGCCAAAGTTCCAATGCCCTTAGATTTATGCCTGGAGTTATATTTCTCAGAGGTATTGTTTTTATGTCGTAATTAGCTAAATATTAAATGCTCATTTGAAGTATGTGTATTTATCCTCCTTGGGGTTTTAACACTTACTCTAACTTTCATGTCTCTGTTTAAATGCTTATCTAGATGTGTTTACTTACTTAATATTGGTTTATAATTACTATTTTTTCCTGACCTCCAGATAGCAACAGATCGCAAATCCTGGCCCCTTAGACAAAATGTTGTCGACCATTACTCTATATCTACGCACGCAATGATGTAATCAGCATTTATCTTGCTAGTAAATAGTTTTAGTACCTCAGTCTTTAAGAATGCCTCCCACATTCGTTCCACTTTTTAGTTTTAGCCAGCGTGTGTTATATTAACGCCTAGACGTAAGGTGGAGGTGAACATGTATAAACTTTAAAAAAGCTGAAACATTTCTTAAAAAAAAAAAAACAAGTTACAGGAGAATTTAGACTATTTTTATCCCGTAAATTTGAACATTACGTTTGTTTTCTCCAAAATTGTAACTAAACGAGAGAAAAAAAAAAACGAAAAAATCTCCGATCAGTCGTTACACCATATTAGGATCTTCGGGCCGCCAAGCGCGTGACGATCGTGTGGGCCACGCGTGAAATCGACATATTGCTAAATTACCCAAGCGTCAAAGAGAATGCGGGGATCGGTGTTCCACGCGCCAGACGCGCGTGCTTTAGACATTTGCTTTAGCAAAGTTACTTTACTAATCAGGACAGCACGTGCGGCGCGTGGAACAGCAACCCCTGCATTCTCCTTGATGTTTGGGTAATTTAGCAATAGGTCTTTTGCAAGCCTGCCAGATATTCGCGACTCGAGCGAACTATAGACCTTTCTGCAAGAGCGCCGCCATCTTCTATTCGCGGCGTCGAGGGCGCCGTCTGGCGGCTTAGCCCTTCAAATAGTGGCGGAAAAAGACGAGGAGTAGGCAACTTTGTGAGTATGGGGAGACCTTGACTCGGCTTGGCTGGGTACTTGACAGGACCAACCAACAGATCCGGCTTGCAGGCCATTACCGGAACTTACGGTGGGCGGCTACTCGTCGCGAAGCACGCTCGCCAACAGCTAGCCGAATTTGTTGTCATAGGTATCTGTTAATCAACGTTCCCGTTTTTTTTTTTTTTTGTGTCGTGGACTTTTTACTGTGGTCAACGCTATGTCGTGCGGCGCGACCTCGGCGATGCCGAGCGTTTCGACGCGAACCATTGACATCGGAGGTGAGTTATCACTGTTAATTGATAATGTTGTTTCCCATCTGTGGGCAAGTCGTGAACCCAAGGTGTGCCTTTATTGCCTTTATGTTCAGCAAGCCCGGTCGACTGTAAGAATACAGTGTAGAACGACTGTCCCAAGTCGGCGGGCGTCGACCGATTGCTGTCTAGCACATCACGAGTGTTGCGATCACCTGGTGTCGCAACCCATGGGCCACCGCCAACTCGTTCGGTCACTGCCGATCGTAGCGAACAAACAATTCGTGCACTTCACATGCGCTGTCCACCCTACCCCGAAAGGAGCGAGTGTAGGGCGTCTACCCCACACAACTGGTAATTTCCACTTTTGGTGCCAATAAATACGCTTTATACCGCCATGTATCCATGAGGAGCTGTGGACAGAATCAGTAAAATAACTGCCGTACTCGCAGTGCTAAATAGTTATAGCTCTTTAATTATTAGTCCATAATTTTTGTAGGAGCCGCATTTCGTAGCCTTGCTCACATACGTGCGCAAACTTTTCCGTGTTGGAATGTAGTAGCACATGCCAATCGAGAGATCTGAATGCTCGACTGTTTTGAAATCTTACGTCTTCAGGAGCAATTCCTCTATAGTTATTGCTATTTAGCCAGTCGATATAATGATGCAGGTATTGTTGTGCATTGAGCTCCTAAAAGTATTAGTTCAGCCGTAATCTTTCATTATGAATAGAGGGTTAATGCTGTAGCTGTCCGTAGGCATCACATTTCCATGCTGGCGTCGTATCTTTTTGTGCTAACCCCGAAAATTTTTTTGTCTGTCGAAGACAGCCACTACCCACATCCAGCAGACATCACACGATGGGAAGACGACAGGAGGAAGTGGGCAGATGTCCACTCGGCAGACATCATTTATTGTTTACTCCACACGAAAGCATGCGACATGAAGGATGTCAAAGAATATAAGAGCCTGGAATCTTATAATTATCTGAAGAGTGGCTGGGTCAGGCAAGTGCTCGTGCATGAGATTGACAGAGACTTCGTGATACTAAAGGCAGCTGTTCAAAGTTCGCAGTCCACGACCAAGCTGAACAGCGCATGGGTTTGTGCAAAAAAAAGGTCAAGTTGTGACGGCAGGCTGCACCTGCATGGTCGGAGTGTGTAGCCACATTGGGGCAGTGCTATGGAAGGTGGACGCAGCAACAAGCAGAGGCTTCACTGCACAGACATGACTCACAAAATTTTATTATTGGAAACAAACAATCACGTTATTACAATTTTGATTGGAATAGAAAATATAAATGAGTAATAAAACTTTTATCCAATCAATTCTCTCCGCAGATTTAGACGGGCGCTTTGATATCCAGGTTGTGCAAATATGTGCGGTATACAATTTACAGCAATGTCACCACTATTTGCTTTCTAAAATTCGCACATAATTTTTGTGGACCAGTAAGGCAAAACGCTTGCTTTGTACAAACTGATATTTATCTTTACAATCTGCTGCTGCTGCTGCTGCTGCTGCTGCTTTTCCTGCTGTTTCCGCTGTAATTCTTGCTGTTATTTCTTGCTGTGTTGTGATACTTGACAGATTCTTCAACATGGCGGATGACTCGAAAGATATCTGTTTACATTGCAGTCTAGCCTTTCAGGAAAAAGGCTCGCAAATCACATGCGTAGAGTGCCAGTACTCTTACCATATAGGCACTTGTTCTGGCGGTTCGGAAGAGTCACGTGTTGCTTCACGTAAAACCTGGCGCTGCCAGACATGCAAAACAGCCAAGTCTCGAGGCAGTCAGGGCAGCAAACAAAACAAAGATGTAGATGTAGCTGCTATGCTAGTCAGCATGAACGCCAAACTAGACACCCTATTAAACTTAAAAGAAACAGTGGATGCGATGGAACAATCACTTCAGCACATGTCGGCGAAATATGATGCAGTGCTGAAGCAAATGGATGAACACGACGGGGAAATGAAAAAGCTTAAAGGAAAGGGTGACGCAATTGGAAAAAGCGGAACCAACAGCGGAGATTGACAGGTTAAAACAAAAAGTTCACGACCTTGAATGGAGGAGCCGCAGGCAAAACCTTGAAATACACGGGATCCCCATGAGCAAACAGGAAAACCTTTTGGCTAAGATAAATGACCTTGCAAAGCAACTGGAAGTGCCCGACTTGACAGCAGATCAAATCATGGCCATGCATCGGCTACCCTCGCGCACTGATAAGATACCCGGAATTTTGGTTCGCTTTTCAAATCAAGCAACTCGGGATCTGTGGCTCGAGAAACGAGTGAACTTAAAGCGACTTCGTAGCAAAGCGTACATCTTGGAAAACTTAACAAACCAGGATAAAACACTTCTTTGGGAAACCAGAGAATGGTCAAAGGCAAGACGGTATCAATACGTTTGGTACAAACATGGAAAAGTACTGGTAAGGGAAAAGGATGGAGCACAAGCACATGTAGTGAAAACTCTAGATGACTTGCAAACTCTTGTGTAGTTTTTCGCTGCTGGTAGTTTATTCTTTATTTTTCTTTCTTTTGCTATAAATGAAAAGAGTCTTTCGTTAAGAACTGAAATCGAATTTGTTTTCAAGAACCAACCA